GCTCCCTACCTGCGAGGTCCCACAAGCCTTCCTCCGGTCCGCTCACGACCGACGCCTTTGGTTCGTCCTATGGGAAGAAGGTAAGTAACTATAGATGTTATCACTAGTACTTCATATGATACGTTGAAAATCAAAAGAGAAACTGATAATTTTTCTTAATCACTTATGCAGGGGCTGGCTAGTTCTGTCGGGTGCTCTTGACCCCCCACGCACCCCCGCTACCGTCCTGGGATGTCTGTGTAGGAAACACTTCCCCGGCCTTGTGGACTTGAAAGAGGGGAGGTGGGAGCCGGCCTGGTCGTGGGACAGGTACAAGCTCGGCTCGGATGGCGAGCAGGACAACAAGCAGGAGTGGGTTTTGGCGGACTTTTGGGTAAGTGTCTCACAACATAGCTCAATACATCTCCTCCATTGGTTAAGTCTTTTATTGAAATAATGAACGGATACATCGTGCTTGTATGCAGAGGTACTTCAAGGCTGAAGAAGGTCGAGAGACCCTGGCGGATCAGATGGCACACAGAGCCTGTAAGAAGTACGTCGGCGACATGATTCACGAGGCGCGACTCTAGGCCCACGTCGACCACTACAGGTCCATCAAGAAAGAGCCCCTCAACAAAACCGGCGCAAGAAAGGTGGCGCTGACCAAGGAGCAGTACCTAGGTGAATAATATTGATTCATTTTGAGATTTAGTAGGTCCAGAATTGATCTTCTTATATGTCAAACACTTGCTGATGTGTAGGTGCCGACCTCGTGGTGCATGTCGCATAGATCGGCATAGTCGAGGATCATGGACAGGTACCTTGACCTGGCATACATCGCAAAGCATGAGCAAGGCAAGCGGAAGCGGGCACTGAGGACTGGTCCAACTCACCACCAAGGCAGCTGCAACCTCCCCGCATTCAAGCGGGCACTTGTACGAGATGTCATTTATCTATTCTAACGCTCAATTTTGCCTGATTTCTAATCATATTGCCGTCTTTCTCGCAGGAGGTGGCACACCCGGACGTGCCGGTGTCGGAGTTGGGGCATGGGCTGTGTCCCACATGGGCCCGGTGAAATCTGGTGTCGTCTTCAACCCGGATGCCCTTCGTTCAGCTTACTCGACCCGGCGCCCACGCTAAGGTCGAGAGAGGAGGCGGTTAGGGGTGCTTCGTGGCTCAGATCACATTGATCACCGAGCCCCTTGAGACGAGAGGTGATAATGGAGGTCAGGCAAGGCGGGAAGCACAGGCGGTTGTGGATTGCAGACGGCGTCGACACCTCGAGCTCGCACCTCTCTCCGACGTGAGGGCACAGAGCACGGCCGTAAGCCTTTCCACACGGCGCTCCAACACCATCACGGGTCGACGAACTTCGGTAATTCGGTTTCACTCGTTGTACATTGAGCGTTACACATTGATGATTTGCGAGATTGAAACATGTGATTGAAACACTGCGCAGTCGAAGTGGCAAAGACAAGGGAGGCATAAGCGCACTGACCGCAGAGTGGAGGCCACGAAGAAGCAAATGGCGGACATGTATCGAGATCATGCAAACCATCGGGCAAGCATCGGGTGTATTGCCGGCTCCGGCTCCGGTTCGACACTTCACTCCTATGAGTATGAAAGTTTAATGCGTTCGTGTTGTTGGGATTGTCGGCCTTCGTGTTGCGTTGTGATTTTCGCCTTCGTGTTGTTGGGATTGTCGCCTTCGTGCGTTGTTTCTTTCAGAGTTGGAAACCTCCCCTGCAGGGGAGGTGCTACCGAAATTTTCAATTTTGAGTCTAACACATGCAATCTCTTCTTTTTTGTGCAGCCTCCGTCGGTGGGTTCAAACAATCCCGCTACCGTGTCACCGGCGGCTGATCGCGTCAACCCTTCGCCGCAGTCCGGTCCTTCACCGTAGTCCGGGGGGCCACACCTCCAGTCTCCGTCGCCGCAGTAGGGATGTTGAACTTGTAATAATAAACTTGTGATGTTGAACTTTGGTGCATTTGTGATGGATTTTCTATGGATTTATTAAATATGCGTGTGCTTGTGATATATAATGCATGTTGGTGATATAGATGTGATGATTGATGTATATATGTATTGTCTGTTACAATGGAATGTAAAAAAAATTGCAATTCTCGGGGTCTTTGCCGAGTGCCATGGGCAAGGCACTCGGCAAAGATTTTTCAAAAAAAAAATATATAATTTCTTTGCCGAGTGCCTCGCCGCGGCACTCGGCAAAGTATTTTTTTTAAAAAAATCAGAAATTCTTTGCCGAGTGCATAAACAGGGGCACTCGGCAAAGTAATTTTTTTAAAAAAAATAAAAAAAACTTTGCCGAGTGCCTGGGTAGGGGCACTCGGCAAAGTACTTTTTAAAAAAAAAACTTTGTCGAGTGCCTGGGCTGGTGCACTCGGCAAAGTAATTTAAAAAAAAATTGCCGAGTGCTGGGTCGGGCACTTGGCAAAATAACCGTTAATGGCCGGCACCGCAACGGTCGACACCGCAACGGTCGAAAATATTTTGCCGAGTGCCCAGATAAAAAGCACTCGGCAAAGACCCTTTGCCGAGAAAATTTTTGCCGAGCAGACTTTGCCGATTGTAAAAACACTCGGCAAAGCCGCGGCCTCCAGTAGTGTCAGGTGCTCTTGGTGGAGCATCCTTTGCCCGAGCCTTCTCTTCAACATCAAGACCAGCTAACAAATCTTCAACTGAGATTTTCTGTCTTCTATGTTTCAGAGCTGTGGCAAAATTCCTACATGATGAAGGCAACTTGGCAATAATGCCACCCGCCACAAACTTATCAGACAAGAAATGTCCAAGTTGTTCGAGCTCCCTTACAATGAGTAGGAACTCATGATCTTGTTCCACGACAGATCTGTTGTCAACCATTTTGAAGTTATGGTACTACTCCATCACATACAGCTCGCGCCCAGCATATGAGGCAGGGAACTTGTGTTCAAACGCCTCCAACAATTCTATAGCACTTTTGATGTTCATTTAAACACCACACAGCTGGTCAGAGAGAACCCTAAGGACACATCCTTCAAAAACTGTCGTAGCCATAGTAAACTCCTGTACCTCTTTCTCAGATCCGAGAGGTGGTGCGGGAGGACTACTCATGACCTAAAACACGCCCATAGCCGAGAGCCACAGCTAGGCTCTTGTCTGCCATCTCTTGAAATTCACACCAGTGAACTTTTCCTATTTCATCGCATCATAGTATCTAGCCATCACTAAATGCCTATCAGGAATGTTGGAAACAATAGCAATTTAGTGATAAATAAATTAATTCCAGTACTCAGAAAAAAAATAATAACAAGTATGATAGGTGTGCGATTCAACACAATTAAACCTATCTCAGATACATATTCTAGTGGATCGTAAACCAAAGACTCTAGCACTATGATCTCAGGCTAACTCAGACTCACTAATGCTAGCAACAAAAGAAATGTGAGAATAAACAGCAGAAAAAGTAGAGACATTCTTACAGTGAAGTCGTCGGCACTAGAGATAGTGCAAGAGTAGACAAAGCAGACGTTCAGCGAGCTGTTGTGACGACGCTTCCCAAAAACCTGATACATGCCCTACCCCATGCAGGGACACGAGGGGTCGTAGGCTTCGGAGATCTGCTCTGGCACTGATGACACATCAGCGAGGGGATGGGGAAGACGGAGGTGGCCCAATACAATGAAGTTGCGCACCCGCAAAGGCGAAGCAAGAATTTGTCATACCATTCACGCGCACGTGTTTTTTCCTTTTCTCTCCACAATAACTTCAAGTATACGGAGACAACTCAACTATTTAAGTTGGCTTCACTCCTAGAGTAGCAACGTGGGACTAAAGTTCCGCATCATATGCATGTGTGAGTTTTTTTAGCAGAACCATGCATGTGTGAGTGAGGCCTTAAGATTTATTGGAATTATTATACGGGCAAGGTGTTTGGATCCAGGGACTAAAGTTTAGTCCTTGTCATGTATCGATGTTCGGATGCTAATTTGGAGGATTAAGCATGAGCTAATTATAAAACTAATTGCATAGATGAAGACTAATTTGCGAGACGAATCTATTAAGCATAATTAATACATTAGCACATGTTTACTCTAGCATCACATTGTCAAATTATAGACTAATTAGAGTTAATAGATTCGTCTCGCAAATTAGTCTCATTCTATGCAATTAGTTTTGTAATTAATTTATGTTTAATACTCTAAGTTAGTGTCAAACATTCAATGTGATAGGGACTAAAGTTTAATTCATGGAACCAAACACCCCTGACTAGAGCCCTAAAATTTAGGTGGGCACCCAAATCCTCCCTCCGACCCCTATTTCTAGGGCTATAGGCCAAGCCCCCAATGTACGGTTTTATTCTACGCGTCTCCGTTTCCCTGCGTGATCGCTCCCTCCCCGCTCACGCCGCCATTTTTTCCTGCACGCTAGCGGCTAGGGTTTCCTGCGCGGACCGTGACACCCCGTGCGACGTACGAGGCTGCTCCCTCCCGGTGTGGACTCCTCCGTGCGACTACTCGGAGCGAGGTTGCTCCCTCCTGGCGTGGACTCCTCTGCGTGACTAGCCCGGGCGAGGCTGCTTCTCCCTCCCCAGTGTGGACGCTCCCTTCAGCTCCGGGCGATTCGGTAGACAAGAGCGGGGAAAAGGGATGACAAGTTGGTCCCATATGTCAGACTATTACGATGGGTTTGAGGGCTTCTGCCGGAGCAGATGTAAAATATGAGGCTCTAAAAATGTGAGATAGCCCTCAAATAAAAAGTAGGACCATGATTTGAGCCTATGCTCGAGATGCTCTTAGCACGGCTAAATGGAATCCAAAGCTAGTGTTGTTTATTCTATGAAAAGCAAGACAAATAAAATCATTCATTTTTTTTGCGAACAAAATAAAATTCTTCTTCTGAACACTAGTGACATCAAATCGATGGTTCTCTCTTCTGGATCTGCCCCATTGCCCCTTGTACTAACTCTATATCAATGCAACCTAGCGAGCTAGCTAAAACTCACACTGTCACACACACCTATGGCTGGCATGGCCACGATCGCCATGGAGTGGCCCAATGACCTGCTGAGCTGGGTGTTCCTAGCTTCACTAGCAGTCGTGCTCTTGCAGTTGCGGCAACAGAGCAAGCTCCCACTGCCGCCGGGCCCCCAGCCTCTCCCAATCATCGGCAACATGATGATGATGGGTCAGCTAACACACCGAGGCATGGCGGTGCTGGCAGAGCGGTACGGCGGGCTGCTGCACCTGCGGCTCGGCCGGCGGCACGTGTTCGTGGTGTCCACAGCGGAGTACGCGCGCGAGGTGCTGCAGGCGCAGGACGTCGCCTTCGCGAACCGGCCGGCGACCACCGCGATCGCGTACCTCAGCTACGGCAACGCCGACATGGCGTTCGCGCACTACGGGCCCTTCTGGCGCCAGGCGCGCAAGCTCTCCGTCACGAAGCTCTTCAGCCGGCGGCGCGCCGAGACGTGGCTCGCCGTGCGCGACGAGTCCGAGGCGCTCGTGCGCGCCCTCGCGCAGCTGCAGCGGCGAGGCGGTCAACCTGGGCGATCTGGTCTTCAGCCTGAGCACGAACGTCATCTACCGCGCCGCGTTTGGCACCCGCGGGTGCGAGGGCCTGGGCGAGTACACCGGCTTCCTCAAAGAGTTCTCCCAGAACATTAGCGCGTTCAACATCGGCGACTTCATGCCGTGGATCGCCTGGATCGACCCGAACCGCCGCCTTCGGGAGACACGCGACGGGCTAGACAAGTTCATCGACAAGATCATCGACGACCACATACAGAGAGGCAGGAGTTCCACGGACGCCCAAGCCGACATAGTCGACGAAATGCTCGCCTGTATCCCTGGTGACGCCGTCGATGACCGGCATGGCTCCCTCCGCCTCACCCGCGGCAACATCAAGGCAATCATCCTGGTACGTGCGCGTATGCATCCATCTCCGACCCTTCTCCTCGAAATAAACTTCACGTGCTCATGTGTAATGTATGCATGCATGGATCGTACGACGTCGCATGCACGCAGGATCTCATGTTTGGTGGGACGGAGACGGTGGCGTCGTCCATCGAGTGGGCGATGAAAGAGCTGCTGCGGAACCCCGACGACCTACGGCGTCTGCAGCAGGAGCTCGCCGACGTGGTGGGCATGGACCGGAACGTGACGGAGTCGGACCTCAGCGAGCTCCCCTTCCTGACGTGCGTCGTCAAGGAGACGCTCCGCATGCACCCGCCGATCCCGATGCTCTACCACGCGACAGCCAAGGACTGCGTCGTCGGTGGCTACTCCGTGCCTCGGGGCTCCCAGGTGACGGTCAACGTCTGGGCCATCGGCCGCGACCGCCGCACGTGGAAGGACCCCGACGTGTTCCGCCCGTCACGGTTCGCCGCGCAGGATGGCAACGCCTCCGGGCTCGACCTCAACGGCAGCTGCTTCGAGTTCCTGCCCTTCGGCTCCGGCCGGCGGTCGTGCCCCGGGATGGCGCTGGGCCTGCACGCGCTGGAGCTCGCCGTCGCGCAGCTCGCGCACGGCTTCCACTGGGCGCTGCCCAGCGGCATGAAGCCGTCGGACATCGACGTCGCTGATGTATTTGGGCTGTCGGCGCCGAGCGCCACACGGCTATACGCCGTGCCTACACCCCGGCTCACCTGCCCGTTGTACTGATCGAGTTACTGACACGAAGCACGCGCTCCCGTGCGCGCGATGTGGCAATTTATTTCTTACTGCTCACCGGTCACCGCGCGTTATTTACCATGTGTACCACTGTACCAGCGTCAGCTGCTTTGTACTGTTCAGTCGTGTGGGTGTCACGAGTTCATCTATCGTGAGCGACGGACACACATGCAAAGTTGCTTTTTCTTTTTTTTTTTTTGAATGAAAAGCACATACAAGGAGCCTGTTGCGCCCGATTGTGCCGAGTTGAGTTGGGCAAATAATAATGAATAAAAAGATCCATCGAGGTGCTCGATTGCTGTTGTGAATTTAAACCATTTTTATGTTTTTCTTAAGGGAATGTCCAATCCATCAAGCTATGAGCCTGTTCGGTACGTACCCATTCTTTACGGCAGCGGCAGCAGCTTCGGATCAGGGATGAAAACGGTCGGAAACGGTCGGAAACGGTATTACAATATAAAAAATAGAAGTGATCGGTTCGAGATATTTCTACATTTTAGCAATTAAAGAGTATAAAAAATGGTTGCGAAACCAATTGAAAATGACAAATTTTTATGTTTTGCAAAATTCGGAAACGATATCATAATATAGAAAACGGTATCATAATATAGAAAATGAAAACGGTCGATTCGGAATATTTTCATATCATTTTCATCCTTACTTCAGATGCAGATCTCTCTCACACAAATACTGCACATCAGTGGCAGGGGCCGTGATAGCTGCAGCGAATGGGATCATACAGAACGAAATGAAATTTGGATCAAACACTCACTCTCAATACAAAGTTTCATTCTATAGTTTTATAGGCATCTAATTTTATGACTTATAGAGAGTTGGTAATCATGACAAAATATTCTCATTTTTTCTCTCTCTTCTTAAATATACGGTCATGTCATATAAAATGCATATGGTAGCAAATTTAATGCAAATGAAACTCATATAAAAACTTCGAGGGAAACTGGTCTAAGAGAGAGAAATGCTTAGCATGCACTGGAGGAACGGTTTGTTAGCTCCTCTCTTGCCTCAGCTTAACTTGTATTGCCACGCGCGCCCCGGTGGATCGAGCGGGCTCCAACGGATCCAGGGGCGAAGAAGGCACCCGCCCCGGCAGGTGGCCGCGCCCCGCGGCGGATCCAGGGGGTCGCGCCCCCAGCAGCGGATCCAGGGTGGCGCTGCAGATCTAGGGTGGCAGCGTGTTCGTCTCCCTCACAGGCGGCGGGATCCGGCGGCAGGATCTGGCTACAGCGCGGCGGGCGCACGGGTTCCGGCGGCGCGTCCGTCTCCCTCACTGGCGGTGCTTGGAGGACATGGCACTCGGTTGCGCAACATCGGTGGTGGCAGCGTGGGCTAGTGGCCAGCAGACTCGGTGTTGGGCTCCGGAACAGGCTTAGTGGGCTTTCGCTTTTTTTAATCTATATTTTCACAGGTGGGCTTTGTGCGCATCTCTGTTATTTTGATTAAATGCTAGCGGGTGTTGCGCCCACCTGCGTTGATTTTGATTGACGTAGGCTTTTGCCTGCAGGCAGACCTGGTGCCCATCTTGGGAAAGCAATTTTGACCGCTTAAGGATAAGATCCGTGTAGTAGTGCTTGCTTGCCATGCAAGTTCCGGTGGTTTAGTACCCAAAACCTTATCTTCTTGGTTTGAACTACAAATGAGACGATCCAAATATATTTTCTGATCATTTCGACAAGAGGAACATAATGGTGGAATCTGTGATGCACTTTTTGGGTACTTTTTTTGGATTGATCAAGATGGAAGCATTGAAGAATTGAGAGGGATCAAAATTTGGAAGCACACAAGTAGAAGGAGCAAGCTCATGAACACTTCGTTGTTGCATTTGTATTGTGCAATACATATGGTTCCTTGCATTTGCATTGAGTAGAAATAGTTTTTTCAAGTGGTATCTTCATAGATTGTGTGGTGACTGCTAGTTAGAGGATTGATCGATGAATTCAAAACTAGCATGTGTACGTGTTACAAAGTGCTAGCTAGACCTAGCCTTAGTGCTTAGTTTGTTTTCGAAGTGGTATCTAGAAACTTGCATATAATGTTGATCTCATAGGGTTTCTAGTGTTTTTGATGTCTAGCTAACCATGATGCTAATGATGGAGCTCAAATGGTGATCTTCAAATGGAAACCACATATTCAAGTGGTATACATGCTACAAAGGTTTATTCTATACACCTTATTAACAGTAAGTAGTGTTTATTCTCCTACAATTCCGATCTAGCATATGTGCAAGCTGTAACCCAAACACACTAGCACATATGTAAGGGGAGCTAACATTGTTGGATCTTGTAAAACTTAATCCTTCCCAAGTGGTCTTCAAGCTGGATAAGCAACACAATGTCCCAACCAAGTTAGCAATTTACAGATGTGTGAAGTGCTAGCTTGGAATTCCCAAGTGGTCTTCACCTGATGTGAAGGTTATCATCAATTACCAAAATGGAGGAGATTGAAAGCCCTATATTTGGTCTTGGTAATTGAGACAACTAGTGGACTAACCTTTGCTAAGTGTTTGATTAAGCTAGGTTTGGTCCACACTAAGATGGAGAGCAAGGCTTGAAGATGGATGAAGGATGATCAATCCAAATGGAGCAAACTCTCAGTTGGAGAAAAAGAAAGAGAAAAACAAAATCCAAGGTGATGGAGTCCATCCCACTATGGACTGCATCCTTCCAATATTCTGCATCAGGTGATGCAAATGCCTCTGCAATGGTCATGGGAGTATCATCCATGAGGTACACAGTGAAGTCTTTACCAAAAGATTTTGCAATACTTTGTATCTTACTCCTTCTAGGAGCTATGCCACTCTCATTCTCTTTGTTTTCAAGTGGGTTTTCAATTGGCTCGATTGTGAGCATGGGTTCAGGAATAAATTCATTTAAAGAGCTAGGCAAAGGATAAGCATCTTTCATATGGAATGAATTTTCAAAGAAGATGACATCCCATGACTCTAGAAGCGAATCAACTAAAATATCTAGCGTGTCTAATTATATCATCGAGAACTTATAAGACGTGCTATGGTGCACATATCCTAAAAGGATACAATCAACTGTTTAATGTTCGATGTCCGAGCTTGCGTTTCTTATTAATTGGTACACTAACCATGGCCAAACAACACCATGTATACAACTAATGGAGTGATGGTTTCCTTCCTTTCCATCCTTCATACGGGGTCATGTCACTATTTTTTTGGGAACTCTGCTCAGAACATGACATGCTGTCAACATAGCCTCCCCCACAATGCCTTGGCCATACTAGATGTTCCTAACATGGCATTCACCAAGTCCATTAATGTTTAGTTCTTTCTTTCAGCAACCCCATTAGATTGAGGCGAATAGGAAGGTGCTTGTTCATTAATTTTCCCATTCTTTGAACAGAAAAGATCAAACTCTTATGAAAAATACTCCTCGCCATGATCAGACTAAACACGCTTTCTCTTCTTTTCTAATTGATTTTCCTCCTCAGCTTTATGTCTTAAAACATTCTAGCGCCTCATCTTTAGTTTTTAGAAGAAACACATAGCAGTACCAAGTTGCATCATCAATCATCGAACACAGAGAGTATCATTTTCCTCTTTTGTCAACACACCATTAACCTCACAAATATCATAATGTATATGAGTTCTTATAATGTTGTGTGCCTCTCATCTACAGCCTTGTGTGGCATACGAGGTTGTTGCTTGCACACATCCTTGACATATAGAACCTTTGATAACAGAAAAATTAGGAATTAAACTCATACTGGATAGTCGTGACATACAACCAAATTTAATGTGGCACAAACGAGAATACCATACATCAGCCACAAAATTTTGAATCACAAACATGGTTCACCACTTTATTACAGTATCAACAAGTGAAAAGAGGAACAAGCCTCCGCTATCATAGCCTTTGCCAATAAATTGGCCAAACCTCTAAATGACTACTTTATTTGACTCAATAACCAACTTGAATCTATCTCAACACTGGAGGGATCCACTAACGAGGTTCTTCTCTATTGAGTGGGCATGTTGCACGTTCTTGAGCCACACGATCTTTCCCGAAGTGAAATTCAGATCGATCGAACCAACACTAAGAACAGTGCGAGTCATTGCCCATCACGATGGTTGAACCTCTTGTGACCTGGTAAGATGAAAACATGGAGATATCAATACAAACATGAATATTGGCTCCTGTATCTATCCACCAATCATTAGATTGACATGTAGAAAATATGCTAGGTAAATTACCATACCTAGAGCCTCCATTAGGATTGCGAATAGTCACATTGGCAGATTTCTGCCCAGGTTGATTCTTCTTGCCCTTGCGGTTCTTGCATTTCTTGGCAAAGTGACCACAAATGAAGCAGATGTTCATCTTCTTCTTCTTGAATTGAGTAGTCTGAGCAGCCTTTCCTTTTCCCTTCTAGTTCTTCTTCCTAGTTTGTTGTGTCATGTTGGTGCTGGACTACCCTTTGGGTGCTCTTGGTGGAGCATCATTTGCCCGAGCCTGCTCTTCAACATCAAGACCAGCTAACAAATCTTCAACTAAGATTTTCTGTCTTCTATGTTTCAGAGCTGTGGCAAAATTCCTACATGATGAAGGCAACTTGGCAATAATGCCACCCACCACAAACTTACCAGGCAAGAAATGTCCAAGTTGTTCGAGCTCCCTTACAATAAGTAGGAACTCATGGTCTTGTTCCACGACATATCGGATGTCAACCATTTTGAAGTTATGGTACTACTCCATCACATACAGCTCACGCCCAGCATATGAGGCAGGGAATTTGTGTTCAAGCGCCTCCAACAGTTCTGTAGCACTTTTGTTGTTCATTTAAATACCACACAGCTGGTCAGAGAGAACCCTAAGGTCCGAGAGGTGCTGCGGGAGGACTACTCATGACCTAAAACACGCCCATAGCTGAGAGCCACAACTAAGCTCTTGTCTGCCATCTCTTGAAATTCACACCAGTAAACTTTTCCTATTTCATCGCATCATAGT